TGTGTGTGTGTGTGTGTGTGTGTGTGTGTGTGTGTGTGTGTGTGTGTATAAAGAACCGTTAAATAATCATTTTACTTTGTCTGATGCAGCAGCAGCAGCAGCAGAAGAAGAAATCGATGTCGAACACGCTGTGAGTGTGTGTCTCAAAAGTAGGAAAAATTTGCAGATATTATGATATGTTTGACACATTCACACGTTGCCTCAATTTTTCGAACAGTCTGTAATTATGGAACGCGTTCGGTTCAAGCACGTAATTAACTGATGAATCGATACATCGAAAGAAAGGAGGTGTGTGTGTGTGTGTGCTGAACATTCCAGCTCTTCTCGAGCTCGCTCAGATGAGTGGAAATGAATCATGATGGTTTGGTGTTCGATTGTATCAATTTCCCAATAATCCAAATGCACCGCATCCAAATTAATGTGACGCAAAATATTTCCACGCAACAACAAACAACGAAAAAAAATGTGAGAAAAAAACATCCTTCGAATAATTCAATAATGTATTGCGATGCAATTAACAGACCAACCTACATGATTAACGTTGCACACGGCGATGCGCACAGTCGTTTCAATTATCCAAAAGTGGACTCGATTAATTTCAATAAAATTGTGAACAATTCCTAACCTTAAAACGCGAGCGTGATGATAAAGAAATAGCCGGCCCCAAAGCAACATTCGCCACATCGAAAAAAAAGATTGATTAACTCAATGAGCTAAATTGAAAACTCAAATCAAAACATGTTTCAGCCGTGCATTTTTTTTTTCTTATCTCTCTTGCATGCATTCTTACTTTGGGTGGATTCAGTGGTGTTGTGTCGAGAAATGATTAATTTTTCATATGGTTCAAAAAGTGCACACACACATACTTTCAATTTTCTTTGATTTCTTGAGCGGCGATACAAACTACAAAATGTCAGTGAAAACTCGTTTCCCATCACTGAGGCTCATCCATATACATACTGTTGCCATCGATTAGAGCTGGGTGTTTTTTTTTTTCTCTTTTCATTACATAATCCGTTCAACTGTTCCATTTGAACTGAATTCCATGTTGGAAATCGTGCGACGAACGAATCGATATATGACTTAGAAGTTTATTTTTCTTTATTTTCGTTTACTTTAAACAAATTACATTTTTCGTGATCACATAATTTGATTTTATAAATCATACCCGTCCAATATCATCGCCGTCATCTCACGAGGTTTCGGATACCACAACACAATTAGTTTTCGTTTGAGTGCCAAATGCAAGAAGGCTTTTCCCATTTTTGTGACAGTGGCCGCGGCGAATGAATGGAACACGAAACAATGAGCCAGTGGAATTAGGATCAATTTACGTGAAACAGAAAATTGTCTTCATAACTCTGATTGTCAATAAAGTCAGGTCCAATAATGGTATTCAATTGGCCAGAAATAATGCTTGAAAATCAGTAAGTTAGCAAACGCTTGAATCGTCTTCATTCTTGATCAATTTGACGCAAACGAAGACCGAGGGGAAAAAGGTGAAGAGAGCGAGAGTATAAGTTTGAAAGAGAGAAAGAAAGAACAGCGAAAATGAGAAACGGAAAAGTCGAATGAGATGGCATCTTCTTTAAAAAAAAATCTTGAAAACTTGGTACTTCAATTTTTTTTTTAAATCGAACGTTCGACATTCATAAAAAAATTTCGAACACACGAAAATTGTTCGTATGTTCGGAATTTTCCCGAACGTTCGAACTTTTTAATAAATTTCGAACAAAATTGTGTTCGTGTTCGTTCGTTCGTAAAATTGTCCCGAACGAACGAACGTTCGAAATAATTTAAATTTTTACGAACGAACGAACAAATTTGAGTATTTTTTTTGTTCGTTCGTGTTCGTTTGACACCTTTATGGAATGCCCAGCTCATAACATACAACGATCTGCTTTTTTTCTCTCTCTCTTCTGTCTGTTACTTGTTGCTTTTC